TAAGGTATTATTCATAGTAGTTTTAAGATCTGTTGCTATGCATTTTGCTATGGTGTTCTGCGTGGTTACCACTACATTGCAGTGCAGTTGCTAAGGTCATAAGAGTGTTTTTTAATGAATTGTTATGTGGCTGCGAGATTGTTCTAGGTGGTTGCTAGGGCGTTGCTAGGTGGTTGGTAGGGTGATCAGGGTTCTGCTAAGAAACTTGTTATGGTATTATTCACAGTGTTTTTAAAGCGTCACTATGCAGTTGCTATGGTGTTTTGGGTGGTTACCACTGCATTGCTACAGTATGCAGTTGCTAAGGTCTTCCCAGTGGTTTTTAATGCACTGCTATGTAGCTGTGAGATTGCTCTGTGTGGTTGCTAGGGTGATTTTATATGGTTCTACTAAGAAGTTGTTAGCATAGGGTGACCAGACGTCCCCGTTTTCCGGGGACAGTCCCGGTTTTTGGTGTCCTGTCCCCGACTGGAGCTGTCCCCGGAAATGTCCCCATTTTACAACACGTTCAAAACAACCCACAAATACACTGTAAAAGCCCGACCAATTTTGCCAGCTGGCAATCGTATGATCATGGTTATTTCACCAGTAGAGGGCGTTGCAAGCTATACTGAATACTTGGTCGCGCGCCGCTACTTTAGCCATAAATAGCTTGCACTAGAGCAGCAGAGCGCTATTATCATCAGTTATCAAAAGAGACCGGGTTGTTGGTTTCAAGGTAGTCACATACTAATATATATGTTAAAACAAAGTAATACTGTTTGTGTGCACTGTATAACAAGGCATGATAAGGTTGCGTGATTGTTTTGCACACAATATTAAACATTCCTGAAACTTCCAACGTCACAACGATATGAATAAAGAAAAAAATTAACTAATCTACACTTGCACAATTGCATTTGCAGAAAGCACATACTTTATGGTCAAAATAAGCCTAAAATTCAAAATAATAAGCCTGATTAGAGATAGAAAAGATCAATTTCCAAAAGCATAAACATAAAATTTGAAAGGTTGTAGGCCTAATTATTGTACTCACAGTTGTGAAAATGTTACAGTTTTATTTATCATATGTTCTGGTATTTATTGTATTATTTTTAATGTGTTTTTGTAAAGCCAGAATTTTGATATAGTGTTTTGATATGTTTGCTATTTGCAATAGCCTAGTTACTAAGCCTACTATTTTTCATAGTGTGATTTTTGGTGAATTGTATTAAAAAATAGGGTAAGTTTGATCCTCAATCATCACTATGTTCCATGAAGATATTTAGTAAATTTCCTACCGTAAATATTTTCTACATTATTTCTATTAGTTTTCTACATTTTAGAGTAATAGTAAAGTCTATTAAAGACATTAAACCTTGGGAAAGAAGTAATGACCAAAACGTGACACAAATAAAAACTCTAATATTTGAGATTCTTGTTTGTCCAGATTCCAGCTTTGCTCATCGCTGGGATGTTTTTAAGCACTATTGAAGGTGGAACATGTATGATGAGAATGATGCTTTTCCTTCACTAAAATATTGGTTTTATAAATACATTTGTGTTCATGCACAATTTACACTCATTTAAAAGTTTGGGTCAGTAAGATCTTTTTTTTTTTTAAGATATTAATACTTTTATTCATCAAGGATGCACTAGATTGATCAAAAGTGACAGCAAAGATATTTATAATATGATTACAAATAAATGTGGTTATTTTAAATCTTCTGTTCATCAAAGAATATGTTTTCAACATTGATAATAATGAGAACTGTTTCTTGAGCAGCAAATCAGCATATTAGAATGATTTCTGAAGATCATGTGACACTGAAGACTGGAGTAATGATGCTGGAAATACAGCTGCGCATCACAGGAATAAATTACAGTTTAATATATATTCACATAGAAAACAGTCAGTTTAAATTGCAATAATATTTCACAATTTTACTGTTTTTTTTTTTGTTTTTTTTGATCAAATAAATGCAGCTTTGGTGAGCAGAAGAGACTTAAAAAAAAAAAAAACACTACAAAATCTTACCAATTCCAAACTTTTGAGTACTAATTATATTTGTCTACAATTGTGATTAAAACCGTTAGTTCATAATGCTTTACGATCATGAGAAACAACTTTTGAAGAAGAACCAACTGCCTGCAAAGCAACTTCATTAGTTCTAAATGTGCGATTAATTCTTTGTGCTTTATATAAAAAAGGTGGTCAGAATGAATGCAAGCTCCATGCATGGTGCATCTACACTAATCTGTCACATGTGTGATATACAGTGTGTAGATTTTTTCCAGCTATGCAGTCGTTCCTCTGGGATTTTTCCACTAGCATGTTCAGATTCATTCCCCATCGCAACATGTGTTATTCTGCTTGTATGATTGAGCAATAAGCTGCAAAGTCACAACATAAAGTCATTAAGGTCAATTTGTCGATAGTTAATCAAAATCCTGAGAGCTACACCCATGAAATAAATGTTTGCGAATCAGTTCAATAGCTATGAATCCAAATAATGAGCTGCCAAGCTGAAGGCCCTAAATCTGACTTATGGACACTCCTGTGGAGTTTGGCCCCACATTGACTGTGCCGTAATATGTGGTGTTGGATTATTTGATGATCTTTCTGCCTGTATGTTCCAGCTTTATGTCAGCAAGTTAAGAGATTTACTGAGCAGGCAGAGATTCTGGCAAACAGCAATTTTTAGGAAGATGCCATTTTTCATTTGTCCTGCAAGTATCTACCTGCATCGAGAGCTTTCATTTCTCTGTCATTTCTCATCCTCCAAATCACAAGTTGATGTCACAGAAGACATGTCGGTGCTCAGAGTTTGCTCTTTCATTGCTCTCTGCAATCTTGAGTTTGTATTGAGACACTTTTGCCTTTGAGCACAGTTCGAGACATTTTTGAGATCTAGAGATGAGATGTGTGAGATTAGCAGGGTGTTTTTAGGAGGAACATCTGAGATGCAGGAGACTTCCGCTGGTCAGTTTGCATCTATTTGGCGTTACTATTTTCTCATGGTATATTTGTTTGAGATGTTTTTGAGACAATCTTTTGGTATCTTTGAGAAATCTGAGCACAGTTTGAGATATTTTTAGATGTCTTTGAAACTCTTGAGATGATATATGTGAGATTAGCAGGGTTTTGAGAAGCAGGAGAACTCGACAGGTCCGTTTGCATTCCATTGGTGGAGAAATTGAGATAAGGAGATCTATGTGCAATTCCTCTTGTCTTTTGGTATTTTTGAGAAATCTGAGGACAGTTTGAGACATTTTTAGATCTTTTTTAAACTCTAGAGATGACATATGTGAGATTAGCAGGGTTTTGAGAAGCAGGAGAAACATCTGAAAAGCAGAATTCAACTGGTCCGTCTGCATTCTATGAGAAATAGTTCAGAGATCTATGTGCAGCTCTTCTTTTCTTTTGGTGTCTTTGAGAAATCTGAGGATTTTGAGACGTTTCTGAAACTCTATAGATGAGATATGTGAGATTAGCAGAGTCTTTTTCTTAGGAGAAACATCTGAGATGCAGGAGACTTCAGCTGGTCAGTTTGCATCTCTTGGGTGTCTAGGAAAAAAAACAGTTGAGCTTGTAAAGAGATCTTTGTGGATTTTCTTTGGCATGTTTGAGACATTTTTGGTATCTTTAAGAAATCTGAGCACAGTTTAAGATATTTGGATATCCCTTTTGAACAGTTTGAGACATTCTGAGATCTCCTTTGAAACTCTAGACATGATATGTGAGATTAACACAGTCTTTTTATCTCAGGAGAAACATCTGAGAAGCAGGCGACTTTAGCTAGTCCATTTGCTCTCTATTTAAACTCATCTGTGAAAAAAAAGGTACAAAAGCTGTCACTGGGGACATACCTGTTCAAAAGGTACACCTTTGTACATGAAGCGTGTATATTCGTACCTAAAAGGTGCAAAACTGTACCTTTTGAAAAGTTACCTTTTTTTCGGAGATATTAAATATGCCGTTCTTCTCTACTTTGGGAAATCTGAGCACGATTTGAGAGATTTTTGAGATATAGGAGGTACTGTGTTTTTTTTTTAGAAGCATGAGACTTAAGCAGAAGCTCCATTTGCTCTCCGTCTAATATTGTTGGTGTCTAGGATAAACGATTGAGATCACATCTGTCATTTTTCTTTCCTATGGCAAGCAGCACAGAAAAGCTCAGCTCTATAGGACTAACGTGTGATCTCATCTCTGGCCTTGTGAAAACTGCAGTAAACTGTGATCAAACCACCTCGCTCTGAGGTCATCTTCCAAACAAACAGCTTTGCAAACCAGTAGCCTGTTCTACCTCACGCTGCCAGCCCTTCATTCCTTTAATGCAAGAGCAAGTCTATTTTGGCCAGCCTGGTGATGCTTTTCACTGACAGCTGTGACAGTAGAGGCGCTGGCGCTGTTTCTGCACAAGAGAAAGAAAGAGCACATTCTCAAGGCCTCCGGCTCTGCGGGATGTCCACCATGCTTGTTGTTTGAAACGTCTTCAAGTATGTGGAACAGACATCTGTTCCTCGAGGGACGGAGACAGAGAGACCCCTGAACCCTGGACCCCTGGTGCCTTGAAGCAGGTTTTGCATCAGGACTCAGGACAGTGACCCAACACAGCACCAGAGCTGTTTAGGTTACAAAATTATGTGAAAATTTGCTTAAAATCAAACAATGAAGTTTATTTACAACAACAACAAAAATAATAAGTCCCTTGTAAAATGCACAAATGGAGGTTATTGAAAGTCAATTAAAAGGGATAGTTCACCCAAAAAATGAAAATGTGCTGTTAATTTACTCACCCTCAGGCCATCCAAGATCCAAGAACAGTAAAGAAGATTTTTTTTAGGTTAAACTGTGGTGCTTGGCGATTCATACACTGCACGTCTGTGGCTGCCGGTTTTTGAGAGTCAAAAAACATACAGAGAAGACCAAATCAATACCCGTGGCTCCTGACGATACACTGAGGTCTTATGAAGCGAAACAATCAGTCTGTGCAAGAAAATGAACATTATTTACAACATTATTACCTTTAATCCACAGCCTGGGCAAACGGTTCTTAGTGCGTTCACGACTGTCCGGAGCGCGAACTTCGTCGCATAATGATGTATGTGTGGGCACAAACTCACATGTAAGCCGATGACGCTGTTTGTTTACAACGGAGAGTGAGGATTAACAGCAACTTTTCATTTTTGGGTGAACTATCCCTTTAATGTCTTTGGTTTGGTCTTGATTGTGACAGGGCTGAACTGAACGCACAGATGCGTCTGACCCGTTAATTCAAGCTGACAGATATGAACACAGTGAGTGAGTCTTCTGTTCCTCACACAGAGAGAGTCTTTTCAGCAGTGCCGTATCCCACAATGCTCGTGTGATCTGCTAGTATCATGGCACACAGCAGACGTGATGCAGTCACCAGTAATGCACCAGAACAGGGACAGTTCACCCAAAAGTGAGTTCTGTCATCATTTACTAACCCACCCAATTCCAAACCTGTATGACAAAAAGGTCAAGATTTCAGTTACATTTCCAGCGCATAGTGATTTTCAGATATCTGCAGTCCTGAGTGCCTGTTGCTATGCAGTTGCTAGGGCATTGTTATGTGGTTTTAAAGTGTTCTGAGTGTTTTTTTACACGTTGCTATGCAGTTGCTAGGCTGTTGCTGTGTGGTTGCTAAGGTGTTCTGAGTGTTTTTAGCATATTGCTTTGCAGTTGCTCGGATGTTGCTGTATGGTTGCTAAGGAGACCTGAATGACATTTAACACATTGATATGCAGTTGCAAAGCATTCTACTGTACAGTAAGTGCTTTTTGTGTGTTGCTATGCAGTTGCTAGGCTGTTGCTGTGTGGTTGCTAAGGTGTTCTGAGTGTTTTTAGCATATTGCTTTGCAGTTGCTCGGATGTTACTGTGTGGTTGCTAAGGAGACCTGAATGTTATTTAACATGTTGCTATGCAGTTGCAAAACATTCTACAGTAAGTGCTTTTTGTGTGTTGCCATGCAGTTGCTAGGGTGTTGCTGTGTGGTTGCTAAGGAGACCTGAATGTTATTTAACACGTTGATATGCAGTTGCAAAGCATTCTACAGTAAGTGCTTTTTGTGTGTTGCCATGCAGTTGCTAGGGTGTTGCTGTGTGGTTGCTAAGGAGACCTGAATGTTATTTAACACGTTGATATGCAGTTGCAAAGCATTCTACAGTAAGTGCTTTTTGTGTGTTGCCATGCAGTTGCTAGGTTGTTGCTGTATGGTTGCTAACGAGACCTGAATGATATTTAACACATTGATATGCAGTTGCAAAGCATTCTACAGTAAGTGTTTTTTGTGTGTTGCTGCTACGCAGTTGCTAAGGCGTTTTGGAAGGTTCTTTTGCATGTTTCTGCATGGTTGTTAGGCTATTTTATGTACTGACCAGTGGTTAAGGCGTTCAGTTTGTTTTTTGAATGTTGCTATGTGCTTGCTATCATGTTCTGATTGTTTCTTGTGTATTAATTAATTGTTTTGTATGTTGCCATGGTGTAACTAAGATGTCCTGAGTGTTTTTAGCCAAACTTTTATTTTAAGTTTAGTGAAGTGCAGGCATTTATATCCTTGTGAGTTTTTCACATGCTGTTTTTGCAGTCTGTGTTGCAATAAATCGTAACAGATCAGTTGTTTTGTGATGTGTTGCAACGGTCGCAAACGTCATGACAAAACATGCAATAAAATGCCTGGAATTGAGTTTACGAGCCGCATTTATGAAAGGATCTGGTCTGAATGGGTGTGTTCAGGTTTCATATCTTCATGTTTTACGAGATAAAAACTTTGTGTCACCGTGAATGAAAACACTATTTGTCTTTTGATTGGGAGACTTTCATTTAAATTTTTTAATTAAATTAACTACACCCTACACTGATTAATTAATCAAAATAACCACATATGATTCATTGCATTCGTTTTTGTAATTAACTGCAGTAATTAACAGTGCTCCTCTTGACCGAACACATCATAGCAGTCATTAGATTCTTCTAAACATGCTTTTGTTTTCAATCAGGAGAGAAAGAGATCACGACTAAGATGGACCCGTCTAACGGGCTGAACCGGCCGCTGGACATCGTCCCGCACACGGAGGTGAAGATGAAGGACAGGGGACAGTGGAGCAACAAGCTGGAGTTTGTCCTGTCGGTGGCCGGAGAGATCATCGGACTGGGAAACGTGTGGCGCTTCCCGTATCTCTGCTACAAGAACGGTGGAGGTGAGGAGACGGAGCGGTTACTGTGACAGTACCACGATAATGATTATCATATTCTTTGTACATTAAAAAAATAGCCAAAACATGCTATTACTCTGATACCATGTGCAAAAAGCCATGTTATACCATGGTACATCTTCAAAAACATGGTATTACCGTGGTAAATCTCAGTTTAACACAGTATTACTGTGGTGAACATGTCAAAAAACATGCTATTTTTACCATGGTACTTGTCCATAAAAAACCTGATACATGTCTAAAAAGCACATATCCCCCAGAAAAACAAGGCGTTAAAATAGTACATGTTCTAAATATCATGGTACATGTCCAGAAACATAGTATTTACATAGCACATGTTTACAAAAAAAAACATGTTTTAGCTGGGTACATGTACAGAAATCTAAGTATCATCATGGTACATGTCCAAAAACATGTTATTTGCATAGTACATGTTTTTTTAAAACATGTTTTACCAGGGTACATGTACAAAAAACTGTAAGTATTATTATGATACATGTCCAAATGCATGGGATTACCATGGTACATGTGCAAAATATCCTTTTACCATGGTACATGTCTAAAAAACCAAGGTTTTATCATGGTAAATGTACAAAAACATGGCATGGCCATGGTACATGTCCAAAAAAATAGGGTATTACCATGGTACAAAAAAAAGTATTATCATGGTACATGTCCAAAAAATATAATATTACAATGGTACATGTCTATAAAACAAGGTACTTTCATGGAACATGCAAAAGCATGGTAATACCATGGTACATGTCCAAAAAAAATATGGCATTACCAGAGTAAATGTCCAAAAAACATGGTATATGTAAAAAAAAAGAAAAGGAAAAAAACCCACACAGTATTAGAATGGTACATGTCCAAAAATATCCAATTTCTTTAGTATATGTTAAAAAAAATATGGCATTACCATGGTACATGTTGGGGAAAAAAACTATGTATGATCATGGTACATTTCCAAACAGAAAGTGTCATTAAAAGGTTGGTCTCAGCAGTTGATGGGTTAGGTAACGTCAGCTCTCATGACTCTACAGAGGTTTAGCAGGTAAACCAGTGAGTCAACATCAGTCCAGTGCTAGTGCAGATATCTGACCTCAGACCAGCCCTCGCCCTGGAGTCCCACCACAAAGACTGGACTCATTAACGCACGGCTAGTTAACGTCCCTCCGGGTGAAGGAGCGTTCGTTCAGTCAGCTGACTGACAGACGTGAGCGGAGAGAGAATGAGGGCTGCGCTTGACTTCATTTAGATCCACAGCTGGCTGTCATCAGGTTATTTAATGTAAAATAGTTTAGAGCAGGGGTTTCCAAACTGTTAGATGCTATAGACTCCAAATATGATCTTCCTCGTCCGAGGGACCCCCCATCCTAAAATTTAAAAGGCAGTTATATATTTTCATATATAAAGACCCAATTAACACTGTGAAAAGTTTATATTATAAATATGTGTAAAATGTAATTTTTTTTCTACTCACTAAGTTACTATTAAATGTATTATTTATTTAAATCAAATTTTTATTTATTTTAATCAAAACATTTATTTTAATAAATGTATTTTTTATTTACTTATTTATATAAAATGTATTAATTTATTATTTAAATCATTTTAATAATTTAATCAGATTTATTTAGTTAGTTTGATCTTGTGTTTCTGTGGTTACATTACAACAGAGATGTTTTCGACTCACATTTGTACTGTTAGGTGTGTTATTTATTTATTTATTTTAAACAATTTATTAATCTATCATTCACTTAAATCAATTTTTATTTTTTTGTGTATTTTTATTAGTCAATTAATTGTAAACAGATTTATTAATGCATTTATTTAAATCAATTTTTAATCATTTCAATTAAATGTATCAATTTAATCTAATTTTATTTATTTTGATCTTATTTTAATTTAGTCAGATTTATTTATTTATATAGTTATGAGTTAGATTAATCTTATTTTTATTATTTATTTATAAAAAAAAATGTAAACATTTTTTGTACCCTTGCTTTATAGGATCCAACTGTGCAGCAAAAGTTGAGGATTTGATAAAGATCGACACAGATCCCCAATGTGTTTAGCGTTTGCCAGGTGTTTGTGAAATAGACCCATTGATCCAGCAGTTGGCCTGATGAAAGCACTACCAGTTCAGAGGGTTAAAGGTCACAGCTGTTGTTTGATCAACCCGTACCCTGTGCCCATACAGAGATGTTTGGGCTTTTGGAAACATTTCTTACGTTTGCTGAAGTCTGCAGCTTCTCAGATGTTTCTCCTGAGAGAAAGACCCCAGTAATCTCACACATTTCTCCCCTAGAGTTTCAAACTTCTCCTTGAGGAGAAACTGTATGATTGATGTCTTTATCCTCTTCCAGGTGCATTCTTCATTCCCTACCTGATCTTCCTCTTCACCTGCGGTATTCCCGTGTTTTTCCTGGAGATTTCTCTGGGTCAGTACACCAGCGAGGGAGGAATCACATGCTGGAGGAAGATCAGCCCGCTGTTTGAAGGTGAAGCAACAAGATGTTGGTTCCTCAGACCTTTAAATGTATAGCATGAGAAACTGAAAACCATTTCAATATGACACGAGCACTTTGTTTGCTATATAAGTGCACAGGAACCATCTGTACAGAGAACTAAAATGATTTGTTCTTTAATGCAATACAGGCACAAATCCCATGTTTTTTATTGTTTTTGTTTGTTTGTTTTTTACTGCTAGATACAGGTTTTTTCGAGTTTGTAATTAAAACAAAGATTATTAGAGCACATTTAAGAAGTCAAGAAAATACTATTTCAGTTTTTCTACTTCAAAATTTCATGTTTGTGTGTTTCATTTGTGAAATAATATTAGAAATTGTCATTTTTTACCTGTTCCACTTCAGAAGTTCAGGTCTTTTCAATAAAAATCATAGAATAATATTATAGTTTTGATAATGTTCAATTAATATACATTTTATTAATTTATAAAATAATCTAAATACCCCAAAATGTTATATTTGTCTGTTTTGTGCAGAAATCGGTGTTATTTTAATATTGTTGATATACTGTTATAGTTATGAAATTGCTTTTATTTTTATATTTTCAGTTTTCATTTAAATTTTAGTTATGTGCTTTTGCCATTTTTATTAGTTTTATTTTTATACTTTTTAATATTTCTACTTCGCTTTAATTTATTTTTATTCATCTTTATTATTTTTGGTAGTTGTAATACTTCAACGTAAACTTAGTTATTTTCGGTTAGTTGCCAAGGCAACATTTCTAATTTTCATTTTTATTTTTTTACGTTTTAAGACTAGTTAAAAAACAATTAGTTAAAAAGTTACATTTTTCATCTAATATTTATGTTATGGTATTTCAGATTTACCGAATTTCAATTTTTTATATTTTTTTTTTTTTAGTTTACAACAACAACAACAACACTGATTTCTGTTCTATTTATAAATAAATAAATAAATTCATAACATGGTGGTAATCATGAAGTGACAGCATGATGGGAAGTGAAGAACATGATGTCATTGCATTTTCTCAGTTTTGACACAAACTGTGGTGTTATTGGATCTGTCTTTCTCAACTGCAGGGATCGGATACGCCACTCAGGTCATCGTGGCCCTGCTGAACTTCTACTATATAATCGTTTTGGCCTGGGGAATATTTTACCTGTCCTTCTCCTTCTCCTGGAACCTGCCGTGGGCCTCCTGCAACAACACCTGGAATACTGGTGAGGATACCATAAATTCAGTCCAGAAATCTCTAGCTTTATGTGGTCATGATGAGTAATATAGTTCATTATCATTGGTGCGCTAAGCTCAGTAGTTTCTACTGTATATATAATCCAGAGATTCCTGTTGTTTTTCAGATTTCTGCATAGAATTCCAAAGACGAAATGAATCCATTGACCAAAGTCACTTTGAAAACGCAACATCGCCCGTAATTGAGTTTTGGGAGTGAGTTTTACTAGTATCTTCCTGTCAATTTTCTGCTTACTCTTCATTATGTTTGTCGGATTAAGTTTATCAAGCTAATAGAGTAGCAAACAGAACTGGACCAGAATATTTTAGTCTGTAGTTTTTGATCTAAAATAAACGTATGCATTTGGCATAACCCTAACTTTTATCCAAAGCGACTTGCATTGCCTTCAGTGTTTATATATTAGCAGCCAGGGTTATCATAGTTAACTAAAACCATAAACATTTTTGTTTCTTGAAATAAAATAAATGTTAACAAAAAACGTAAACTTATTTTATTTCAACTTGCCGCCATGGCAACATTTCTCATTTTCCTTTAGTTTAACTTTAAGTACTAAACTAAAACTAATTAATAAAAACGAATAAAAAACCTACATTGAAAAGCAACATATCTGACTCCTCAAACCTGGCTATAAAACCCCACGTTTATGCCACATTATCCGGAAACTTCTCTGACTAACCAATGGAGGCTGCAGCTGATGTGTCATTTCTGTCTCTCTGTAGACGCAGAGTTTTGCGGATCTCGTCTGGGATCGAGGAGATAGGAACGCTGCACTGGGATCTGGTCCTCTGTCTGTTGCTGGCCTGGGTTCTCTGTTATTTCTGCATTTGGAAAGGCGTCAAATCCACCGGCAAGGTACGTGAGCTAAGACCGTGAGCTAAGTTCATTAAAATTATTCAACAGATTGCATGGGTGTTCTATGAATACCTTGAATTACCATGCAAAGACAAATTTATATAAATAGAAAAAGGGTAATTAGTGATAGACTAATCTGTTTTGATCAATAACTGATTGATGGCAATGATTAATTGATAACTGTGTCTGATTGGCTGATTAACAAAGGGGGTTATTGTGCCAAGTATCATTTCCAAAACTTACTGACAATCATGTAGATTTAATTTTTTAATATTTTATTATGAATAACTATTTTTGTATTTTTATATTTTATTATTTAATATATTTTAATCAGAGTTTTGAATAAATATTGTGTAAATTTTGTGTACATCTTATTTGCTATTATTAAATAGAGTTGTTTTAAAATAAATGTTTAAAGTATTTTTTAAATATGCTTTTTAATTAAATTTTGTGTACATCTTATTTGCTATTATTAAATTGCATCATGATAGATATCCAAACATATGTTAGCGTTTAGCCTCACGCTGTTTTCCTGACACGCGACAGGTGGTGTACTTCACTGCGACCTTCCCGTATGTGATGCTGTTGATTTTACTGATCAGAGGGGTCACACTGCCAGGAGCGTCCCGTGGGATCCAGTTCTACCTTTATCCCGACCTGGGACGATTAGCGGACCCACAGGTATCGTGATTAGCTTTTCATCTACTGCAATTCTGACTTGAAAGATCTTGTCATGACTAGAAAGTAGTGCTGGGCGGTATACCGGTTCATACCGAATACCGGTTTTTATTTTTGTTATGATATGAATTTTGAAAATACCGCAATACTGGTATATGTCACTTAAACAATATATATATATGAGCAATATCACATGAGTAGGAGTGCGATATGGCTGTATATCGGCACGGCTGTGGTTCGGCCGTAGGTTATCATATCTGTGCTGATATAAAGCCATATCGCATGTCTACGAGTGTGATATTGCATTTATACAACAGTTCGATGGCACAAGCGTGTAAATAAATAAGAAACAACAACGGGGTGTCTTTAAAAACCCTCTTTTGTGTGGAACTACTTCCTTCCAGATTCAAATCTCAGTTTGTCAGTTTGAGCTGAGCTCAAGATCCGTTACTAATTCAAAAACGTCACTTTAGAACTTTAGTAACGAAGGAACGTTGAGTTGCTTCATTGAAAGCTTATTGTATCACTGTATTAAAAGCTCTCTGTATTATATGTAGAGTATAATGAGAGTAAAAGCGTATTGTATCACTGTATTCAAAGCTCACTGTATTACAGAGTATGATGAGAGAGAGATGGATTGAGCGAGTGTGATTACCTGCATCTGATCCAGCATTCATTATTCAGCTCAATCTCATATTCACAATAAAACATGAGTTTGAATGTCACGGAGGAAAGCGATATCTTTGTCGAACTATACTTTCATCTGTTAAGGGTGATTTCTGATGACAGCGCTGCTCACTGCATTTGTTAACTGCGTCTTACAAGTTGTTGTTGAAAGTAAAAAAAACTTCCTTGTTTACAACCCTGTTTCAGTGTCTTTCAATATAAAAGTCTTTAATGCGAACTCACTCAGAAAAACAGTCTCTTGTCGCCATCGAAAGGCGGAACAATGCAACTAAAATCACCATCATGAACACACACACTGTTTCTCAATACTAAATACTACTATTATTTATATAAAATATTATTTATTGAATAATAATATTTAATAAACAACAACAACAGCCATCATAAAAGTTGCTAGGCAATTGAGTCAAAAACACAAAGGCTCTGATATACAGCATTAAAGTTACATAAAATATAATGTGATGAGATTTTGTCCTCAGCCAAAACTATTTGCTCTGGAACAAATAATAGATTAATGAGACCCAAAACGAATTATATCTCATGTTTAACCACTATAGAGACATTAAGAGCCAGCGGCAAATTCCAGAAGATCTGGCCGAGGTGAGGCTGCTCTCAGCGGGTTCATGAGCGCTGAACGGCCGCTGACGCCCTGGAGCTCACATCTACCAAAACATCGAAGCTCATTTTCAAATAGACGTTATCTTTATTAACAAACCATATATTTGAAGTCTAAACAAGTACATGCTCGCCTAAAACACTCTTAAAACTACATTCCGTGACACAAAAACAGTATTATTTTTAACTGTATGTATGTTGATTTTTAATTTAACTACTTTCATATTATTAATATCGTATTTGTGTTCAGCGTGAATATTGAGTGTAGGGTTGTGTTTTGGTAATTCCTCTGGAACACAAGCGAATTGTTTTCTCTTAAACATGCCGTGTCTCGAGTCGAAAGATCATGTGATTTGTCTACCCAGGTGCTTTAGTCGTGGCCTGGAGCAGGATGCCCAGCAGGGAAACGTTGTTTTCTGTACTTATTTGATTGCGTCCATCTGTGCGTTTGACTTTTGATCCGACTTTCACATCTGTGTCACTAGAAGACCACATAAACCCACGTTATATCTGAGAACAGGACACAGCACGGTCACCCAGATGCATCCCAGCATTCCTTAACATCAGACAAAACAGCTTAAAACCTCTTCTGGTAAAACTCTGTCTATTGGCAAAAGCATTTTTGGTTGGATTTGAGAGATAGCATTGGTTGTGTTGACATCGTTTTATTTCATCGCCAGAAAAAAAAAAGTTATGGGTTTAGATGAATAGCTAGTCAAAGTTTGGCACTTTTGGTTGGATTTAAGAGAGACCATTGGTTGTGTTGATGTCATTTCATCTTAGAAGTGTAAAAATGAGGCCAATTCAATAAAATGTTATGGGTTTAGGCAAACAATTAGATGAAGTTTGGGGTTCTTGGATGGATTTGAGAGATTGCATTGGTTGGGTTGACGTTATTTTATCATTAGAAGTATTCAAATGAGGCCAGTTCAACTAAATCTATTGGGTTTACGTAAGAAACTAGACAAAGTTTGGCATTTTTGGTTGGATTTGAGAGATTGCATTGGTTGGGTTGATGTTATTTTATCTTAGAAGTATTCAAATGAGGCCAGTTCAACTAAATCTATTGGGTTTACATAAGAAACTATACAATGTTTGGCATTTTTGGTTGGATTTAAGAGAGAGCATTGGTTGCGTTGACTTTCAATCTTTGAAGTATAAACATTAGGTAAATTCAACAAAATCTAATAGGTTTACATGAACATGTAGACAAAGTAAGGAATTTTTGGTTGGATTTTAACGATAATGATTGCTGTTTTGACACCTCTTGATCTTAGATAAAAGCAAAGCCAAATTTCACTAAACCTTCAGCTAACAAGGTAAACGGTTGGACAAGGTTGATCAGATGAATGTTCCAGAAACTTGAAAATCAGTGATCAGTTTCTATAAAAACCAACATGAATTGACATGCATAACCCATTTTAATTCTGTAAATGTTGGATTTGTAAAGTAATGGCTGTTGTTTTGACATCTCTTGGTCTTAAATGTATACAGATAAGAAACTGAATGAAACCGTTAGCTAGAAAAGTAAACAGTTAATTGGTGATAAGCCTTTAAAACTGTTTAAAATCAACATTAAGCGGCATTCATAAGCCATTTTAATTCTCTAAAGTGTTAAAAGATATTCAACCAAATTTAATGTTGACTTCAACCTCAAATAAAGTCTCTTTTTGGTCAGTATGAGAATTTTGGTTGGATTTGAGAGATAACCATTGCTGTGTTGATGTCAGTTCATCTCAGAAGTACAAAATGAGGCCAATTCAACAGAATATTGTGGGTTTATGGGAACAGCCATGTAAAGTTTGTGAAATCAATGATCTAAGGCTCCAAAAACTTGAGCATCATGGGTCAGATTTTTTTAAAATCAGCATGAATCGACATTCATAACTCATTTTAATTCTGCAAGGGTTGATTTTGACATCTTTTGGTCTTTGATGTGTAAAAATGAGGCCAAAATTCAAGAACCCTTCAGCAGGAAATGTAAATGGTCGGGCAAAGTTAATTAAAACTGTGATCTAAGGTTTGAAAAATGTAAGCATCGTGGGTCAAATTCTTACGCCTTGCTCGGACATCAGTGGTGTTTTTAGCACATTTCTGGACCTCAGGTGATAAATGTGAGGTTTTAAGGGAAGTGTGAGGAATTTTCCCAGTGGAAAAACACAGTTTCTTCTTGGTGTAGTCCTGGCTACAGAAATGAAGTGATTGCACGCATGATTTTCACTTGCAAAACAGTGAAGGACCCGAGCATTATCTAGAGACCAAGCACTCTTTTGAGCAATAAGCAGTAGTTTTTATAGGACAGAGGTCTTGTACAGGTGTGTCACGTTTTAGCACTTTTTGTACATACAATACATCCACATCGCCCGTGGCAGCACATGAACGACCTGACTTTAGAAAAACAGAAAGCACTGTGATTCATGACAGAGCGTTTGATTGACAGGCATGTTTTTCGCAGATCATGTCTAAACCTGTTTCAGGCATTTAAGACTATTAAACAAGAGGTTACACAAGCTCTAGGAATCCTACGACAGCTCTAGTCTTTCATCTTGTCCATTCAAGCTTATTACCTGAAGCCAAATGAGTTTGTTAAAGCTGTTAAATACGTCACAGGTAACTCAAGTCACTCAACATTTGACATGCTCTGTTGTTGCGTACATTGTGTTTGTGATCTTTGATGTCATGGAGGTTAAATGATCATAAATAATCAACATAGCTAATAAAACAAATGAAAATGAAACCATAATAAACAATCATAAGAATCAAAACGCTCTGCACATCAGTATATTACAGCTGTGATGGTATTTTTCTGGTTTCAGGTGTGGATGGACGCAGGCACACAGATCTTTTTCTCGTATGCCATCTGTTTAGGTTGCCTCACCGCGCTCGGAAGCTACAATAAATACAACAACAACTGCTACAGGTGAGAAAATGGTCAAAAAACATCATTGTCATACTATGAAATGTGTCTTTACTCCCTGGGTGACGCTGTATGTGTGTGTGTGTGTGTGTGTGTG